AGTAAAAGAAGACAAAATGGGAAGGACAAATAAAGGAAAGAGGAAGGGAGTAAAAGAAGACAAAATGGGAAGGACAAAAAAAGGAAAGAGGAAGGAGTAAAAGAAGACAAAATGGGAAGGACAAATAAAGGAAAGAGGAAGGAGTAAAAAGAAGACAAAATTAGAAGGACAAATAAAGGAAAGAGGAAGGAGTAAAAAGAAGACAAAATGAGAAGGACAAATAAAAGGAAAGAAGGAGTAAAAAGACAAAAGTAAAAAGAAGACAAATGGGAAGGACAAAGAAAGGAAAGAGGAAGGGTAAAAGAAGACAAAATGGGAAGGACAAATAAAAAAGAGGAAGAGTAAAAGAAGACAAAATGGGAAGGACAAATAAAGAAAAGAAGACAAAAGAAGACAAAATGGGAAGGACAAATAAAGGAAAGAGGAAGGGAGGACAAAAAAAGAAGACAAAATGGGAAGGAAGGACAAATAAAGGAAAGAGGAAGGGAGTAAAAGAAGACAAAATGAGAAGGACAAATAAAGGAAAGAGGAAGGGAGTAAAAGAAGACAAAATGGGAAGGACAAATAAAGGAAAGAGGAAGGGAGTAAAAGAAGACAAAATGGGAAGGACAAATAAAGGAAAGAGGAAGGGAGTAAAAGAAGACAAAATGGGAAGGACAAATAAAAGGAAAGAGGAAGGGAGTAAAAAAGAAGAAAATGGGAAGGACAAATAAAGGAAAGAGGAAGGAAAAAGAAGACAAATGGGAAGGACAAATAAAGGAAAGAGGAAGGAGTAAAAGAAGACAAAATGAGAAGGACAAATAAAGGAAAGAGGAAGGAGTAAAAGAAGACAAAATGGGAAGGACAAATAAAGGAAAGAGGAAGGAGTAAAAGAAGACAAAATGGGAAGGACAAATAAAGGAAAAGGAAGGAGAAGACAAAATGAGAAGACAAAAAAGAAAGACAAAATGGGAAGGACAAAATGGAAAAAATAAAGGAAAGAGGAAGGAGTAAAAAGAAGACAAAATGAGAAGGACAAATAAAGGAAAGAGGAAGGAGTAAAAGAAGACAAAATGAGAAGGACAAATAAAGGAAAGAGGGAAGGAGTAAAAAGAAGACAAAATGAGAAGGACAAATAAAGGAAAGAGGAAGGAGGTAAAAAAGAAGACAAAATGGGAAGGACAAATAAAGGAAAGAGGAAGGAATAAAAAAGAAAACAAAATGGGAAGGACAAATAAAGGAAAGAGGAAGGAGTAAAAGAAGACAAAATGGGAAGGACAAATAAATAAAGGAAAGAGGAAGGGAGGACAAATAAAGGAAAAGAAGACAAAATGGGAAGGACAAATAAAGGAAAGAGGAAGGAGTAAAAGAAGACAAAATGAGAAGGACAAATAAAGGAAAGAGGAAGGAGTTAAAAGAAGACAAAATGGGAAGGACAAATAAAAGGAAAGAGGAAGGAGTAAAAAGAAAACAAAATGGGAAGGACAAATAAAGGAAAAGGAAGGAAGACAAAGTAAAGAAGACAAAATGGGAAGGACAAATAAAGGAAAGAGGAAGGGAGTAAAAGAAGACAAAATGAGAAGGACAAATAAAGGAAAGAGGAAGGGAGTAAAAGAAGACAAAATGAGAAGGACAAATAAAGGAAAGAGGAAGGGAGTAAAAGAAGACAAAATGGGAAGGACAAAGAAAGGAAAGAGGAAGGGAGTAAAAGAAGACAAAATGAGAAGGACAAATAAAGGAAAGAGGAAGGAGCAAAAAAAAGAAGACAAAATGGGAAGGACAAATAAAAGGAAAGAGGAAGGAGTAAAAAAAAAGACAAAATGGGAAGGACAAATAAAGGAAAGAGGGAAGGAGTAAAAGAAGACAAAATGAGAAGGACAAATAAAGGAAAGAGGAAGGGAGTAAAAGAAGACAAAATGGGAAGGACAAATAAAGGAAAGAGGAAGGAGTAAAAGAAGACAAAATGGGAAGGACAAATAAAGGAAGGAAGGAGGAAGGAGTAAAAAGAAGACAAAATGAGAAGGACAAATAAAGGAAAAGGAGGTAAAAGAAGGAAGGAAGGTAAAAGAAAAAAATGAGTAAAAGAAGACAAATGGGAAGGACAAAAAAGGAAAGAGGAAGGGAGAAAAAAGAAGACAAAATGGGAAGGACAAATAAAGGAAAGAGGAAGGGAGTAAAAGAAGACAAAATGGGAAGGACAAATAAAGGAAAGAGGAAGGGAGTAAAAGAAGACAAAATGAGAAGGACAAATAAAGGAAAGAGGAAGGGAGTAAAAGAAGACAAAATGAGAAGGACAAATAAAGGAAAGAGGAAGGGAGTAAAAGAAGACAAAATGGGAAGGACAAATAAAGGAAAGAGGAAGGAGTAAAAAATAAAAGAAAGAAAAGGGGAAGGACAAATAAAGGAAAAGAGGAAGGAGTAAAAAGAAAACAAAATGGGAAGGACAAATAAAGGAAAGAGGAAGTGAGTAAAAGAAGACAAAATGGGAAGGACAAATAAAGGAAAGAGGAAGGGAGTAAAAGAAGACAAAATGGGAAGGACAAATAAAGGAAAGAGGAAGGGAGTAAAAGAAGACAAAATGAGAAGGACAAATAAAGGAAAGGAAGGAGAAAAAGAAGACAAAATGGGAAGGACAAATAAAGGAAAGAGGAAGGGAGTAAAAGAAGACAAAATGGGAAGGACAAATAAAGGAAAGAGGAAGTGAGTAAAAGAAGACAAAATGGGAAGGACAAATAAAGGAAAGAGGAAGGGAGTAAAAGAAGACAAAATGGGAAGGACAAATAAAGGAAAGAGGAAGTGAGTAAAAGAAGACAAAATGGGAAGGACAAATAAAGGAAAAAAAAGGAAAGAGGAAGGAGTAAAAGAAGACAAAATGGGAAGGACAAATAAAGGAAAGAGGAAGGAGTAAAAGAAGACAAAATGGGAAGGACAAATAAAGGAAAGAGGAAGGGAGTAAAATAAGACAAAATGGGAAGGACAAATAAAGGAAAGAGGAAGGAGTAAAAGAAGACAAAATGGGAAGGACAAATAAAGGAAAGAGGAAGGAGTAAAAGAAGACAAAATGAGAAGGACAAATAAAGGAAAGAGGAAGGGAGTAAAAAGAAGACAAAATGGAAGGACAAATAAAGGAAAGAGGAAGGGGAGTAAAAAAGAAGACAAAATGGGAAGGACAAATAAAAGGAAAGAAAGGAAGGAGTAAAAGAAGACAAAATGGGAAGGACAAATAAAGGAAAGAGGAAGGAGTAAAAAAGAAGACAAAAATGGGAAGGACAAATAAAGGAAAGAGGAAGGAGTAAAAGAAGACAAAATGGGAAGGACAAATAAAGGAAAGGAGGAGGGAGTAAAGAAGACAAAATGGGAAGGACAAATAAAGGAAAGAGGAAGGAGTAAAAGAAGACAAAATGGGAAGGACAAATAAAGGAAAGAGGAAGGAGTAAAAGAAGACAAAATGGGAAGGACAAATAAAGGAAAGAGGAAGGAGTAAAAAAGACAAAATGGGAAGGACAACAAAAAAGAGGAAGAAGGGAAAAAAGATAACAAAATGGGAAGGACAAAGAAAGGACAAAAAAGGAAAAGGAAGGAGTAAAAGAAGACAAAATGGGAAGGAGGAAAAGTAAAAGGAAAGAGGAAGAAAGGAGGAAAAGAAGACAAAATGGGAAGGACAAAGAAAAGGAAAGAGGAAGGAGCAAAAGAAGACAAAAATGAGAAGGACAAAGAAAGGAAGGAGGAAGAGTAAAAGGAGCAAAAAGAAGACAAAAAATGAGAAGGGTAAAAGAAATAAAGGAAGGACAAAAGGAAAAGAAGAGGAATAGAAAAAATGGAAGGACCAAGAAAGTCAGGATAGACAAATGAGAAAGAAAAAGATGAAGCCAGAAAAAAAAGGAAGAACAAAGAAAATAAAGGAGAATGGAGGAAAAGAAGGAGATAAAAAGGAAGGACATAGAAAAAAAAACATGAAGAAAGAAAAATAAGAAAAATTGAAGGACAAAAAGAAAGAGCGGAAGGAGAAAGGCAAAGAAGAAGGTAAAAAAGAGAAGGAGAAAGAAAATAAAGGAAAAGGGAGGAAAAGGAGGAGATAAAATAGGGAAGGACAATGAAAGGAAATAAGGAGAACAGAAATAAAGATATAAATGGGAAGGAGAAAGAAAGGAAAGGAAGAAGAAAATAAAAGAATATAAAAAAGGAAACCAAAGAAAATAAAGAAAAAGCGAGTAAAAGAAGACAAAATAACGGAAGGACAAAGAAAGGAATGAAGGAGAAAGGAATAGAAGAAGATAAAAATAGGGAAGGACATAGAAAAGAAAGAAGAATAAAGGAAAAGGAGAAGAAAAAGGGCAGGAAAAAGAAAGGAAAAGAGAAGAAAGAAAAAGAAGATAAAATGCAAGGATAAAGAAAGGAAAGGAGGAGATAGGAAAAGAAGAAGATACAGAAGGTGAAAGTAAGGAGAGAAATAATAAGGAAAAGAAGTTAATAAAAAGTGGACAAGAAAAAAGAAAGACGAAAAATGGAAATGAAGAATAAAAAAGACGCGCGAAGGAAGACAGGAAGGAGAAAGGAAAAAGAAGATAAAAAAAGTAAACACGAAAAATAAAGGGAAAGAAAAGATAAAAAGTGAAGGACAAAGAAATTAAAGAGGAAAAGAAAAAGATAGAAAGGATGGACAAAGAAGCTGAAAGGAAAAGAAGACGATGAAAATTGAAGGATAAAGAAAATAAAGAAGAAGATAGGCAAAGAAGCTTAAAAAAAGAAGGACAAACTAAATAAATATGAAGAAAGGAAAAGAAGAAAATAGGAAAAGAAGATAGAAAATGGTAGGAGAAAGAACGTAAAAAAGTAGTAATGAAAAGAAGAAGAAAAAATGGGAAGGATGAAGAAAAGGAGGAAGAAGAAAGGTAAAGAAGATGAAAAAGAAGGACAAAGAAACTAAAGAAGAAAAAAAAAGAAAGGCTAAGAAATGAAAAGGAGATAAAACGGAAACATAACAGAAGAATGAGAAACGAGAAAGATAGAACAAAGAAAATCTATGTGAAAGAGAAAAACAAGAAGAAAAATACGAAAGTGATAGGATGGAGGAAAGTATGTAGGAGGAGGGGTAAGTGAACGACAAAGATTAGATAGAAAAACGGTAACCACAAATGGATGAAGAAGAAGAAGAAGAAGAAGAGGAGGAGGAAGAAATGGAAGAAGAAGAAAGGGAAATGTAAGAAAAAGTGGAATGTGAAAAGGCAAAGAAAAACAAGAAGAAAAGAGGAAGAAAAATGCCAGAAAAAGAAAAAAAAAACAAATAAAGAAAAATAAATAAGAAGAAACTGATAAAATAAGAATTACACTGACCACGTGATCACATGATTGAAAAGTCACTTCTGTCACCTTTCGACTTCCCTATATATTCGGCCCTTCAAAAAGTGTGGATGGTCCTGCACGAAACCTTCACCACTATAATCAAATCTCATGTGCTGTTGTCGGACTGTCGGTTTCCTGGGAGCTGATCTGCTTGACCCTCATACGTCGAATTCGACGGGAGAGTAGACTATATATATATATATATATATATATATATATATATATATATATATATATATATATATATGTATATATGTATATTTGTCCGATGCGATGAGAACGAAAGTAATATGTCAATTTAACGTTCACAGGATTAATCCAAAGGAGGCACGATACCGATTGTTGGGCGATAATTATTTATTTAATATAATTTTATCATATAGACAAAACCATTTTATTCACTACAAATATGCAACTTTGTTTCAGTGCATTTCAACTGGAAAGGAAGTGACGTTTCGCATACGGCTTGCCTACAACCAGGATTGTTCATAACCATTTTGCGATTCTCACGAGTCGAAGTATAGTTGAAATGCACTGAAACCAAGTTGCATCCTTGTAGTGAGTAAATTGGTTTGTCTATATATATATATATATAATATATATATATATATATGAAATGGACAAAGTCCGACAATTATTTTAAGACATTTTTTATAAAAAGAACGTATAAATATAAAAAAGGTCTTTATATATATATATCTATTTTAAGACATTTTTATGTTTATACATTCTTTTTATAGATATAAGTATTTAAGTAAATGTTTATAATAAAGTAAAATTTGCAATGATTTGTTGTCGCTTATCTGGCAGATATTCAATAGCCTTTAAGTAAAACAGGTTTTAATTTGAAAAAAGGTTTCAATGGACTTTTGAATCTGGTTTAAATTTGAAATCGTTTTCCTCATCAAAGCCTTTTTGCATCGATGCAAGGAGATAATCATTGGTTTGTGTAAGGTTAAATAAATATGGCGGCTGCAGAAGAGCTGACCGTATAATTATCTACATTATTTACATTATTCGGACTATTGTCCTCATCGCCATTTTTTTATGAAAAGGCATTACAATATTTTTATATTATGAAAAGGCATTATAAATGATTTTTTACTATGAGCATTGCATTAAAAAATAAATTTTTACTATGAAAATGCATTGCCAATGATTTTTTACTATGAAAATGCATTGGGAAATGATTTTTACTATGAAAATGCATTGGAAAATAATTTTTACTATAAAAATGCATTGAAATGATTTTTACTATGAAAATGCATTGGAAATGATTTTACTATGAAAATGCATTGGAAATGATTTTTTACTATGAAAAATGCATTGGAAATGATTTTTACTATGAAAATGCATTGAAATGATTTTTACTATGAAAATGCATTGGCCAATGATTTTTTACTATAAAAATGCATTGGCCAATGATTTTTACTATGAAAATGCATTGGCCAATGATTTTTACTATGAAAATGCATTGGAAATGATTTTTTTTACTATGAAAATGCATGGACAATGATTTTTTTTGAAAAATGCATTGGCCAAAATTTTTGCATTGGCCAATGATTTTTTATGAAAATGCATTGGCCAATGATTTTTACTATGAAAAATGCATTGGCCAATGATTTTTACTATGAAAATGCATTGGCCAATGATTTTTTTACTATGAAAATGCATTGGCCAATGATTTTTACTATGAAAATGCATTGGCCAATGATTTTTACTATGAAAATGCATTGGCCAATGATTTTTACTATGAAAATGCATTGCCAATGATTTTTACTATGAAAATGCATTGGCCAATGATTTTACTATGAAAATGCATTGGAAATGATTTTTACTATGAAAATGCATTGAAAATGATTTTTACTATGAAAATGCATTGGCCAATGATTTTTACTATGAAAATGCATTGGAAAATGATGAAAAATTGCCAATGATTTTACTATGAAAATGCATTGGCCAATGATTTTTACTATGAAAATGCATTGGCCAAAAATTGCATTGGAAATGATTTTTACTATGAAAATGCATTGGAAATGATTTTTTACTATGAAAATGCATTGGACAATGATTTTTTACTATGAAATGCATTGGAAATGATTTTTTTATGAAAATGCATTGGCCAATGATTTTTACTATGAAAATGCATTGAAATGATTTTTACTATGAAAATGCATTGGAAATGATTTTTACTATGAAAATGCATTTTTGATTTTTACTGAAAAATGCATTGGCCAATGATTTTTTTTACTATGAAAATGCATTGGCCAATGATTTTTACTATGAAAATGCATTGGAAATGATTTTTACTATGAAAATGCATTGGAAATGATTTTTACTATGAAAATGCATTGGCCAATGATTTTTTTATGAAAATGCATTGGAAATGATTTTTACTATGAAAATGCATTGGAAATGATTTTTACTATGAAAATGAAAATTTTTACTATGAAAATGCATTGGAAATGATTTTTACTATGAAAATGCATTGGCCAATGATTTTTTTGCATTATGAAAATGAAAATTGGAAATGATTTTTACTATGAAAATGCATTGGCCAATGATTTTTACTATGAAAAATGCATTGGAAATGATTTTTTTATAAAATGCATTGGCCAATGATTTTACTATGAAAATGCATTGGAAATGATTTTTACTATGAAAATGCATTGAAATGATTTTTACTATGAAAATGAAAATGCAAAATGAAAATGATTTTTGATTTTTTACTATGAAAATGCATTGGAAATGATTTTTACTATGAAAATGCATTGGCCAATGATTTTTACTATAAAAAATGCATTGGAAATGATTTTTACTATGAAAATGCATTGGAAATGATTTTTATTATGAAAATGCATTGGAAATGATTTTTACTATGAAAATGCATTGGCCAATGATTTTTACTATGAAAATGCATTGGAAATGATTTTTTTTTGAAAATGCATTGGAAATGATTTTTACTAAAATGCATTGGCCAATGATTTTTTGAAAATGCATTGGAAATGATTTTTACTATGAAAATGCATTGACCAATGATTTTTACTATGAAAATGCAAAATGATTTTTACTATGAAAATGCATTGGCCAATGATTTTTACTATGAAAATGCATTGGAAATGATTTTTACTATGAAAATGCATTGGCCAATGATTTTTACTATGAAAATGCATTGGAAATGATTTTTACTATGAAAATGCATTGGCCAATGATTTTTACTATGAAAATGCATTGGAAATGATTTTTACTATGAAAATGCATTGGAAATGATTTTTACTATGAAAATGCATTGGAAATGATTTTTACTATGAAAATGCATTGGCCAATGATTTTTACTATGAAAATGCATTGGAAATGATTTTTACTATGAAAATGCATTGGAAATGATTTTTACTATGAAAATGCATTGAAATGATTTTTACTATGAAAATGCATTGGAAATGATTTTTACTATGAAAATGCATTGGCCAATGATTTTTACTATGAAAATGCATTGGAAATGATTTTTACTATGAAAATGCATTGGAAATGATTTTTACTATGAAAATGCATTGGAAATGATTTTTACTATGAAAATGCATTGGAAATGATTTTTACTATAAAAATGCATTGGAAATGATTATGGAAAATGATTTGCATTGAAATGATTTTACTATGAAAATGCATTGGAAATGATTTTACTATGAAAATGCATTGGCCAATGATTTTTACTATGAAAATGCATTGGCCAATGATTTTTACTATGAAAATGCATTGGCCAATGATTTTTACTATGAAAATGCATTGGAAATGATTTTTACTATGAAAATGCATTGGAAATGATTTTTACTATGAAAATGCATTGGAAATGATTTTTACTATGAAAATGCATTGGCCAATGATTTTTACTATGAAAATGCATTGAAATGATTTTTTATGAAAATGCATTGGCCAATGATTTTTACTATGAAAATGCATTGGAAATGATTTTTTTACTATGAAAATGCATTGAAATGATTTTTACTATGAAAATGCATTGAAAATTTTTTACTATGAAAAAATGCATTGGAAATGATTTTTTTACTATGAAAATGCATTGGCCAAATTTTTTTACTATGAAAATGCATTGGAAATGATTTTTACTATGAAAATGCGTTGGAAATGATTTTTACTATGAAAATGCATTGGCCAATGATTTTTACTATGAAAATGCATTGACCAATGATTTTTACTATGAAAATGCATTGGAAATAATTTTTACTATGAAAATGCATTGGAAATGATTTTTACTATGAAAATGCATTGGAAATGATTTTTACTATGAAAATGCATTGGAAATGATTTTTACTATGAAAATGCATTGGAAATGATTTTTACTATGAAAATGCATTGGAAATGATTTTTACTATGAAAATGCATTGGAAATGATTTTACTATGAAAAATGCATTGGACAATGATTTTTTACTATGAAAATGCATTGGAAATGATTTTTACTATGAAAATGCATTTTTACTATGAAAAAATGATTTTTTATATGAAAATGCATTGGCCAATGATTTTTTACTATGAAAATGCATTGAAATGATTTTTACTATGAAAATGCATTGGAAATGATTTTTTTTACTATGAAAATGCATTGGCCAATGATTTTTACTATGAAAATGCATTGGCCAATGATTTTTTTATGAAAATGCATTGAAATGATTTTTACTATGAAAATGCATTGGAAATGATTTTTTACTATGAAAATGCATTGGAAATGATTTTTACTATGAAAATGCATTGGAAATGATTTTTACTATGAAAATGCATTGGAAATGATTTTTACTATGAAAATGCATTGGAAATGATTTTTACTATGAAAATGCATTGAAAAATGATTTTTACTATGAAAATGCATTGGAAATGATTTTTACTATGAAAATGCATTGAAATGATTTTTACTATGAAAATGCATTGGAAATGATTTTTACTATGAAAATGCAT